AGGCACTCACCTCTGGGCCAATAGAAGCCAGAGGGGTGTGGGTGCCCACTGTAGTTGGTGACAGTTTCAGGGCAGTAGTAGCCAGCAGGGCAGGTGAAACAGGAGACTTGGCCAGTCAGGTTACTGTAGGAGCCAGCAGGGCAAGGCTGGGGGAGGCTGGTGCCCCTGGGGCAGAAGTGACCTTAGGGGCAGGGCCCCCACCACCACCCCCGCTCCAAGTAGTCTGAGGAGAGAAAGGAAGCTGAGGGGTGCAGGTCCCGTCACAGCAGCGCATGCTGGAATCTGGGGAGACTTGAGTGGTGCCACAAAGACCAAATGTGGACTTCAGTTGGGGTCAGGGATCCGAGGGTTTTAGAAATTATGCCAATAACTAATATTTGTATAGCACCATCCAGATTTAAAAAACAACAACAAAAAAAACACTTTGCTTTACACATGTGTTATTTTATTCAAACCTCAGAAATAATGATCCAGTGTTACTGGGGATGACATCCTGAAACAGTACCTGACATGCCTGTCCAGCATCTCTCTGTGCTTTCCCTGATTCAAAGCCTGGTTATCTGACATTTCCTCATTGCTTGTTCAAGGATATAACTCTTGTTCAAGGATAAAACAGATTTAGATGCATTGCCTTCATGTGTGGTTGTATTGAACCAAAACAGGCTAGTTTTGCTTTTGGTGGCTTGATCTGACTGAGTAGCTCCTCTGTCCCCTCCTTCTCCTCATCCTGCACTGGGGATGTGGCTCTCCACCCACCTCCCTGGAACTTAGTCTTCCATTTGAGAACTGGACTGTTGTCTCGGATGTCTTCTGGACAAATGGAAGTGTTTGAGAAGAGGAGTTTTAAGGGCCCTGACTGAAGCTGCAACAGAGCTCCTAGGAAAAGGCCAGTGGTCACTAGAGGGAGCCAGGACCCTGACACCCCTCTGCACCTTGCTGGGAGTGTAGAGGGTCTGCCCTGTCAGCCTGGCCATGCACCCTACCTCTCCAGTCCCCTGGAAAATAAGGGCCACACTCAGCTCACCTTTGCGTGGCCCTTGGGGTACCATTTGGGACCCACGGGCTAGTTTCCAGAAACCATGGTCCTCCCTGCCCACCTCCCTGAAAATCTATAATGTTCCCATCTTTAGGCCAGTGGGGATCTGATTCTGGAGGTTGGGTGGGACTGGGGAGGGTTTGGAGCTGCAGGTGTGACAAGAGCCAATGACCACAGTACAGAGGACAGTGAGCCACACTGAGAAGAGCTGTATGAGGATGAGAGGCCAGCTGTCCAGGAACAGCAGTCAGGCTCCTACACACTCTGGCTAAGGACCATCTCCAAAACCCCCTTGCTCACACACTTCCCCTCTGTCCTCAAAGTGCCCCACAGCTGGTAACCTCCCATCATTACAATGTCCACCTACCTCTGACATCTGGCCAGCTCAGGGGCACTTCTGTCCTGAGGCCCATTACCTGTTGGGGTTGGGGAGGTGACTCCTGCCAGACAGAAGTAGCCAGGGGAGCAGGGTCCAGAGGCGGCAGCAAGGCCAGATACACCACAGAAATGGCCAGAGGGGCAGGCCAGGCACTCAGGAGAAACATCCTGGGGAGATAGAGAGAAAGCTGGGGGTCAGTGGGACCAGGAGTCTCTTAGGGTGGAGGGGACATGCTTTCTGGGACTGCCTTTCCTATAAAATTTATACCTTAAATAAATATGTGAAAGATGGAAATATCTATTTATGTAAAAACCCTGGGTGTAACACCCGTCACGACCAACCAAGGCTCGACCAACCGGAAGGAAGTCAGTCCTGCAGGGGTCGCCTTGGCAATGACTGTGCCCTCCCCGAGCTGTTTCCAGCGAGGGCAAGGTTTGAAGCAGGAACCCGCCCGCAGAGTGTGGAGGCACTGAGTCCTGGGTCACTGCGGCAACGGCTGCGCCCTCCCCAAGCTGTTTCCCGTGAGGCCTGAGGGAAGAACCCACCCTCGGAGCACCAAGAGTGCCCAGCGGCAGTCAGTCCTGGGTTGCCACAGTGTGGTAGAACTCTGGGTCTGGCCCAACAGGGGGCATGGCCGGCCTTCAAACCAGACCCTGACAGGAGGGAGGAGGGATCCCCATTCCTCACAGAATCTGCTGTTGGATAGCTTGCTGTCAGTGGCCTGCCAGCCAGGAACCCCATTCACCTGTACCCCGGACCCTGACAGGAGGGAGGAGGGAGCCCCATTGCTCATGGAATCGACAGGTGGCCAGTTTGCTGTCAGGGGCCTGCCAGCTAGGAATCCTATTCACCTGCATATCTGTATAAAGTTTTAATACATTATATTAGAGGTCGTGTTTTACCCACAGTGTCTACAGGAATTGCTGCAAATTTACTTCTCAGTGGAAGCACCTTTCATCCCCAATATAAATTACCGATTCCATTAAGTGAAACTTCAATTTCTAGACTTGATATAAACAGTGAAGTTGCTAAAACTATTAAAAAGGCCCAACTTCTCATTATTGATGAATGCACCATGACATCCAGTCATGCTATAAAACGCCATATACAGATTACTAAGAGAACTTATGAATTTGAATGTTGTATTTGGTGGGAAAGTTCTCCTTCTTGGAGGGGATTTTTGACAATGTCTCAGTATTGTACTGCATGCTATGCGACCGGCCATAGTACAAACGAGTTTAAAGTACTGCAATGTTTGGGGATGTTTCAGAAAGTTGTCTCTTACAACAAGTATGAGATCAGAGGATTCTGCTTATAATGAATGGTTAGTAAAACTTGGAGATGGCAAACTTGATAGCAGTTTTCATTTAGGAATGGATATTATTGAAGTCCCCTGTGAAAAGATTTGTAATGGATCTATTATTGAAGCTACCTTTGGAAATACTATATCTATAGATAATATCGATGTTTCTAGCTCTCTGTCTCTCTCCCTTCCTCTCTGTAAAAAATCAATAAAATATATTTAAAAATTATTAGACCTAATAAATGAATTTGTCAATGTAGCATGATACAAAATTAACGCCAAGAAATCTATGGCATTTCTATACACCAATAATGAACTTACAGAAAGAGAAATTAAAAAAACAATCCCATTTACCATTGCACCAAAAAAATTAAGATACCTAGGAATAAACCTAACTAAGGAGGTAAAAGACCTCTATCCAGAAAACCACAGGACATTGAAAAAAGAGATAGAGGAAGAGATAAACAGATGGAAGAACATACCATGTTCATGGATTGGTAGAATCAACATCATCAAGATGTCCATACTACCCAAAGCAATCTATAGATTCAATGCACTCCCCATTAAAATACCAACAGCATATTTCACAGATCTAGAAAGAACTCTCCAAAAATTCATCTGGAATAAAAAAAACAAAAAACGAATAGCTGCTGCGATCCTGACAAAGAAGAACAAAGTAGGTGGGATCTCAATACCAGATATCAAGCTGTATTACAAAGCCACTGTTCTCAAAACTGCCTGGTACTGGCACAAGAACAGACATATAGACCAATGGAATAGAATAGAGAACCCAGAAATTGACCCAAATCACTATGCTCAATTAACATTTGACAAAGGAGGAAAGAACATACAAAGGAGTCAAGACAGTCTCTTCAATAAATGGTGCTGGGAAATTTGGTCAGACACGTGCAAAAAAATGAAACTAGACCACCAACTAGCTCAAAGGAGGAAAATATACAGTGGAGAAACTGGATAACACCTTGATCAAGTGATAGAGATTATTATCACCTTACAATGGATAGACAGACATCCTGGGCCTCTGGATGTAATATCCAAAGAATGACCCACTTCATTTATATGGCTGTTTTGAGGGATGATGCATAACTGGAGTCTACTCAGGAGGAAATGTCAAATGATTGTCAATGTGGAAACTTGTTTTTTGAGGAAGAGTCTTTCTTTGTAAGGGAATGCAATGCTTTGCTGAGCCCTCTTGTTCATAAGGCTGTTAAATAACCAAATGCAAACATTCCGTAAGCTTTACATATGTCTCCTTTGTCCCCAATCTGTACTGTGATTTTAAATATTATATTTATAAATTAAAACACTATGACAACTAAGATTTATTTAACTATGAAGAGATTAGCAGTTACCCTGGCAGGAATAGGAAAGAATGCTGGGCAGGATGGAAGTCTAGGGAGAGGGGATCCTGCGCTGAACATTACCAGTTGTTCAGTTCGTATCTTTTTTTAAATTATTATTTTTTATTGATTGGTTTTAGAGAGAGAGAGGAAAAGGGAGGGGGGGGAGAAACTACAATTTGTTGTTCCACTTATTTATGCACTCATTGGTTGCTTCTTATATGTGCCCTGCCGCAGGTGGGGCGGGTGTGATCTAACCTGCAACCCTGGCACACCGGGAGGACGCTTTAAGCAAGGCCAGTATTTATTTCTAATTTAATAAACACACAGCCTTTCTTTTTACCAGGCGCTGTTCTAAGCGTCTTTCCCCATACTGTATTGACTTTTAAATGGGAAAGCTCAGTAATTGGTCTTTATCTCCCAAAACAAAACAGATATATGACACTACATGTTTTTATCAGTTGTCAAGGCTCTGCTGCAGCGATGTTCTCCTTCGGTGGAAGAACAGGAGACTACAATTACTGAATGGTTTTCGTGTAAACAAGGGCAGCTCTACTTTGCGATACCAAACGTTGAGTTTTATTTGAAAAACCTGATTCTTTGCAAAAAGTCTTAAAAGCAGAGAGGGCCGCTTACGTATATTTTTGGGGTGCAGACACTCACGTTCTCCATTCCTTTAGGGGGGAATCCCACAGCACGACACCATCTTTTTTGGCTAAAGTTGGAGTTTTAAGTAACTTCCCCACTCTAGGAACCAGTTCCGGGTTAAGTTTGTTGCAAAATCAGCGGGTTCATGGCGCAATGGAGTCTGGGAGACCAGTCGTCCGCAGAGACGCGCAGCCCGGTGTGACGCTGGACTTCAATTCCAACAATGCCCTGCGCGAGCCCGCGATTTCTTCTGGGTCACTGTGAGGTGGCCGCCATTTGTGCGCTGCTGTGTGTGGCTCGTAGTTCTGGGCTGGGCTTTCAGTCCTCCAGGCCTTTGCTTTAGGGCCGTGTTCCCGCGTTTCTTTAGCGTCTCAGAAGCCCGTGTCTTTCCAGAATACGGTTTCATTGGGAGGTGAAGGTCAATGCGGAGCTGTCCGGTAAGGTGAGTAAACAGCCAATTTCAAGTGTTTTTTTGTGAGAGGGGGGGGGGCGGGGGGGAGTGGGGGCGACTTTTTCAGTTTCTTCCTTCTAATGTCGGCGACGTGGGTTCCCGGCCGGCACTTGGTCATGCCCTTCCGTTAGCCGTACTCTCCACGGATTCTCGGCAGAACCCGAACTTGTTTCGTTGGGACCGAGAAAGCAGTGACGCACTTTTGCCCGGGCTCCGGGGGAGGCTGTGGGGCGGAGGTTGTGTGCAAGGCTGCGCTCCGTTACCACTACCCCCATCTCTTCTGGGACTCTTCTGACCTTTCTAATGAGGAAACAAGAAGCCGAGAGGTGGCCGAGTTAGGGCTGTGGAGTTCGGCGTTCTTTACAGTTGTGTCTTTCTCGAGCCTCAGTCCTCTGGGTACTGTTCTCTGTTCGCCTTTTTGCCTTTTTCTTCGTGTTGGGGGCCCCTCAGAAATGTCAAGGGAAGCAGTTTATCTTCGAGATGGACCGACCATCTAGAAAAGAGGAGCGCTTTGATGTGGGGAGTTGCCAGAAGTTCTTCGCTAAACAAAAATGAAGTTTGTATTTGCCTCATTTTCAGTGCAGCTAAAGTAGTTTTTTCTTTTAAACGATATCATATCATCAAAATGTATATTGTTTATTCAACTTTCCAAACTTACAAAGTTTCTTAAGTTCTCTAAGTTCAGAAATGTGTCATTTAGACCAGTGGTTCCCAAACTTATTTGGCCTACCGCCCCCTTTCCAGAAAAAATATTACTCAGCCCCTGGAAATTAATTTTTTTAAAATTTTAATAGCAGTTACTCATCGCCCCCAAATGCACCTGTGGCCATCATCGCCCCCCTGGATCGCTGCAGCGCCACCGGGGGGCGGTAGCACCCACTTTGGGAATCACTGATTTAGACTAAAGGAGAGGTATTTCTTTTTTTAAACGACATTCACTTACCTTCAATGAGACACCTCTCACATTATAACAATACTTAAACAGTAACTGACTATAAAATTACAAATTTATAATTTTTGTATTTTGGGAAATGTTACCATTTATTATCACAAACTTAAGTGCCTTTTTCTGTTGTTTCCGAAGAAACTTTTGTTTAGAATTTTTTAAATATTAGCTATTAATTGTATGATTTATGTGCTCCTCAGATGCCTTATGGTGAAATTGAAGCTAAATCCTTGGGATATGGGGAAGATCTAACAAGTGAACCATGCCATAAAAAATTGAAGTTAACCCAAGAGTCTTTTGTTTTCCCCCATCATGGTAGTTCTAATTTTCACAGAGTCCAAGATAAAGTTGGAAATGATTGGATTCCTTTGACCATCATTGATGTCAGAGGACATAGTTCTCCTCAGGAGGACAATGCCAAAACTAAAGATTTGCTGAAACCTATGCATGATGAGAGGCCTGCTGATAGACCAGCTGTTGAATCCATTGATTCACAAGTTTTACAGGCTGCAAGTCCTCCATTGGTATCCACAGATGATGAGATATATAGCACAAGTAAAGCATTTATAGGACCCATTTACAAACCCACTCAGGAAAAGAAATGTAAGGAAAGGAAGAATCAAGCAGACACTATCAATGGTATAGATGGCAAAGGAGGACAAGAAAAGAAACAGAAATTTAACTGCAAAAAATCAGAGATTGATAATGAGTTATTCCAGTTTTACAAAGAAATTGAAGAGCTTGAAAATGAAAAAGATGATTTGGAAGGCAGTTATAAGGAACCTGAACCCTCTGAGGAACAATTTATTTCATATTACCAAAGCCATAATAATGATCTGATCAAATACGAAGAAGAAAAGAAAAGAGATTTTACTAATGCTCTTCAGTCACATTGTGGTTATCAACAGTACATGGGGAATGAGCCAGGCAAATATTCTTGTCGTGGACAAGAAATACCTACATTTTGTGATGTGTCCTTTACTTCCTTCAGGCCTGAATGGCAATCAGTGCATTCTTTTATAGTACCCCGAGGTCCTCCTCTTCCCAGTTTTAACTATTTAAATATTCAAAGATTCAATGCTCCACCAAGTCTATCAAATATTTTCCATGCCCAAGATGGCCCTCAGATTCGAAATGGATGTTATGTAAATAATTGTCACATTAATTGGAATTGTTTGACTTTTGATCAAAACAATGAATATACTGACTATAGTGAGAATGTCATTAGTGATCTTCCCTATGGAAATGGCTACACTGTACAAGATGGGTATGTGAATAATGGTTTCTGTGAAACCAGTGAAGGATGCTGGAAAGATCCTTTGATGGGCAAGCATAATCGAACAGACAGGTTTATGAACCAGCAGTTTCAAGAGGAAAAGTTAAATAAATTACAGAAGTTACTTATTCTTTTAAGAGGCTTGCCTGGTTCTGGGAAAACAACATTATCTCGGTAAGTAAAGGATACCAAGTGAATACTTGGCAATTCATTACTTTAAAATCATAAATGATAGTAGTGATAATTATTGACAAATGGTTTTATGTTTCTAGTAGAAAATTTTTGTTATTCATGAAAGTGGCATCTGACAGTGTAAATATTTTTAAAAGATGTTTTCTGATAGAGGAAGGGTGAATTGGCATATCTATATTAATTTGCAAAGGTCTTTAATAATAAATACACCATTATATTTTAATAATAACAAAAAATCCATGTGTAATTATGACAGTGGTGAAAGCAAATGCTATTTGAGAACTGTGCTGGCCTTCACTTTTAAGTCAGATATTTAAGAAGAGTTGGGCTTTGACTCAGCTGTTTCACTTTATGACCATGGACAGGTTTTGCTGTCTGTTAATAGAATGAGTAATACTTAAGAAGCAAATGAGATGACCCAAGGAAAGTAATTTTGATCATGTTTCAAGCACTGTGCTCTGTTCATACCATTGACTGGCAGAGGGAACCCTTTTTTTTTTGTTGTTTCTTTGGATTTAAGGAGTTTGAAGTGAGCAATATACAGGAGTGGGCAAAGAAGGTTTACAATTGTTTGTTTGGAAAAATAATACAACAATTAATAAATAATAATACAAGAATAAACTTTCTCATACAACTGTAAATCTACTTTTGCCCACCCCTGTATGAATTAATGGAGTTAGAACTGGTGATGTTTTATCTGACAAAAAATATTTCAAATTCATGTTTTTGTTTACATTTTTTAAAAATATTGTTGCACACAAATACATTTTTGCAGTTGTGAAAAATAACACAAAGAAATACAATACAAATTCTTTACAATACAGGATGATGGAATGTTTATGCCAGAGAAGGAGAAAAAGAAAATTTATGTGGTATCTTTGGGGGAGGATAAAGAATTCCAAGAAACCATTTTGTAAATATTTTATATTTACTTGAAAGACAAACCTGAGCAGCCTAAACAAAAGTTTCTTTAGAAGCAAGAAATTAGAATAAGATTAAATTTATGATATAGACATTTCAAACTAGATTGTAAGCTGTGATCATTGTAAGTAAATTTTAAGTTTATTTTAGGTCTTTACTTTTTGATTCCTCTTTAGTGAAGATTTTGTAAAGATGAAATTACAGTTCTTTGGAAAGGATAGAAATTAGAAGTGAAGTCACAAACATGGGCACTTTTCTAGATTTAGAATATAATAACAGAAAAAAGTACTCGTTGAAATTTGGAAATTTGATCAAGGGATCTTCTAGCTAGGGACAGCTGACTAAGATTTAGAATAAACATAAGAAAGATTAGGTTTGGGACAACATATTGGAATATGTTGAAACTGAAGATGAGTAAAATAGTGGTAATTCATTATAATTTCAGGGAGATGGTAGTAGTGGGAGGTGATAAAATTGATAATGTGTAGTATGTATATTTTATTTAAGGGATTAGGTACGTATGTTATAAGAATGGAAGTTATAATAGAAATTACCATTTGTGTCACAATTTACAATTTGCAGAGTACTTTCATATATAAAAATCTTGAGATGGGTTGTATTCTTTTCATTTTATAGAATAAGCAGGCTAAAGAGAATAAATTCAACTTAAGGGACTTGGGAGAATTTTCTAAAACTGGTAAAAGAACAAGCTAGGGATATCAATGATAGTGTTTCTTCCCTACTCCTTTACTTTAGTATCTGATGCCTGAATAGCCCTGTGTGTGACTCCTGACTTGGAGGAGCTTGGTTAAAGAACCAGGAATATCTCTTTAGGTCAACAATCTATACTAATAAAAGGGTAATATGCTAATTAGACTGGGTCGACCGTCCATCTTCTGGACGTCTGACTTCCTTCCGGACAAAGCCATGGTGATGAGGGCCGTGGCAGAGGCAGTTAGGGGCGATCAGGCCGGCAGGGGAGGGCAGTTTGGGGGCGACATCGGGTCTGCAGGGGGTTAGGGGCAATCAGGCCGGCAGGGGAGCGCAGTTGAGGGCGAGATCAGGCCAGCAGGGGAGGGCAGTTGGGGGTGAGATCAGACCAGCAGGGGAGGGCCATTGGGGATGAGATCAGGCCGGCAAGGGAGGGCAGTTAGGGGCGATCAGGCAGGCAGGCAGAGGGGTTGGGGCATTCAGGCAGGCAGGCAAAGGCAGGTAGGGGCAATCAGGCAGACAGGCAGGTGAGCGGTAAGGATCCAGTGATCCCATATTGCTAGAGGGGTGTCCAGCAGTCAGACATCCCCCAAGGGGTCCCCGATTGGAGAGGCTGCAGGCTGGGCTGAGGGGAACCTTTCCTCCCAACTCCCCCACCCCCATGCACGAATTTCGTGCACCGGGCCACTAGTTTTTTAATAAAGCAGGATTGTTTGGTATTGGATATAAAGCCACATACTCTCTGGTGAGGAATCTATTCTATATAAATAAAAGTCTAAGCTACCGAACGCCTGAATGACCAGTCAACCGGTCACTGTGACATGCACTGCCCACTAGAGGGCAGACACAACGCAGGAGCTGCCCCCTGGTGGTCAGTGCACTCCTGCAGCGGGAGCGCCACTCAGCTGACCTATGGGCGCCAGAGACAGGGCTCACAGCTGGCCGCTGCAGCCTGGAGACCACAGCGGAGCCCCAGCGAGCCTACCGAGCGGCGGCAGGCATGGTGGGGCCAGGATGAGTAGGAGCGGCAGGCAGCGTTGGACTGCCGGTTTCAGTCTGATCCCCACAGGCTACGCCAAGGAACCCCACCGGTGCACGAATCTGTGCACCAGGCTTCTAGTGGCTTTATAAACGAGTTAGCTTTCAAAATGAGTATTGAAGAAAGAAAGGTCCCTCGATCAATTTGGTAGATCAGAGTTGAGTTGATTTGGAGCATTAAATTAAAAGAGTAGTGTTTCATATTGTTATGTGGTAATTAGTGTAGGTAGATAAAATTCAAATTCTTTGGGGAATTATTCAAGCTCCTTCTTTAATTTAGTCTTTACCCACCTCTTCATCTTAATATCTATTTGCATTGAACTGGTACCTGACCTCCATTGCAAGAGACATAATACTTCTCCATTCATTGTTCTCAGGACTTTCATTATTCAAAGGTTCTCTTTAAATGTTCACTTTTTGAAGTTTTGGTTTAGCTCAGCCCTCAGTAATTTTTTTTCTGAACTCAATATTTGCCATTACCACTCTTTGCATTTAACGTAAGCTGCACAATACCTTTCTATTTGTTGATAATTGACCTAAGCCACTTGGTTAAAAGTGGCTGAGGCTTAGTTGTTTGTTTATCCACAACTTTACTAATACATTTTAATGAAATCAGTCTTGGGTTAAATTCTGACACAAGTACAGACTTTAAATATTTATGAGTAAGCTAAAGTGCCAGCTCTTTGTCCATTTGGGCAAACAACACTTTGATGAAAGGTTCATTTGAGGCAATTTCAACAATATTCTAGAGGTATAATTTTATTACTACTGTAGTTGGCAACAGCCAAAACAGAATCCTGACTCAGTGGATGACAAAGGACGGTTTAGGGATCAAACATTGAGTGCTATTCCCATAGTGTGGGCTATAGATTTTGCAAGCTTCTTATACCCTGTTAATGCAAGGAGGAGGGGTAAATCTAAAATATTTTCGCTAACCCACATTTTCTTTAAAAAATTTTTTATTTATTTTTCGAGAGAGAAGAAGGGAGAGGGATAGAGAGATATGAACATCAATGATGCGGGAGAATCATTTGATTGGCTGCCTCCTGCACACCCCCCTGTTGGGGATGGAGCCTGCAACCTGGGTATGTGCCCTGACCAGGAATTGAACCAGTGACCTCTTGGTTCATGGGTCAACACTCAACCACTGAGCCACACCAGCTGGGCTAATCTTTACCCACTTTTTACACTCTACTGATTTCACCAATGAGAAAGTGTATTTTCATAAATAGGCCATTAATTTCATTATTAGCAAAATGTCTGGAGTTGATCAGATATAAAAGATAATTGACACACTTGGGAGGAGAGAAGATGCTACACTGCTGGCTTTGAAGATGAAAGAAGGGACTGTGATCCAAGATACTTAAGGTGTTCTTTAGAAGCTGGGAAGGGCAAGGAGACAGATTCTCTTTTAGGGCCTCAAGGAGGAACGCCAGCCTGCCACCCCTTTATTTTAGCCAGTGAAAGTGATTTTAGACTTTGGACCTTCAGAACTGTAAGATAATAATAAATCTGTATTGTTTTAAGCCACTAAGTATGTGGTGTTTTGTTACAGCAGCATGGGAAACTACTATATCGTAGTTTAAGAAGAGATGGGAAGATGTTCCTCCCCCCCAACCCCCCCCCACCCCTGCTTTTGAGGGAGAGTTTAAACTCCAGAGGGAAGATTTACCTTTCCTTATGTAGGTTTCTATTCTTAATTCAAGGAGTGTGCAGAGAGTGAACTGCCCAAGTAAAGTTGTCTTGGGCTATGGGTATGCAAGGCCACTCAGTACATAAGGAGGTAAAAGGTTCATGAAGTGTCAGTTTTTACTCAGATTTTTCTGGAAAGTCACTTATAGTTTTAAATGCACATGGATGTATTTAAGAAAATAATATACAGTTCTTAGAAATTTCGTAACTAAACCATGAAAATTAGCTATCCTAGTAGACCATTTCGGGAATAAGGTTCCCAAAACAGAGTTTAAGGAACAGCATTGTTCCTTAAATGAAAAAGTGTAAGCACATAGTGCATTAGTTATCCATGGCTGTGTAACAAATTACCCTAAAACTGAGTTGTTAAAGCAACAAACATGTATTGTCTCTCAGTTTCTGAAGGACAGGAATCTGTGTGCAATTATCTGGGTGCCTCTGGGTCAAGGTCTCTAACATCCTGTGATCAAGATGTTGGCTAGGGCTGTGTTCTGATCTGAAGGCTTTGTCTTGGGGAGGATCTGCTTGGAAGGTTTCTCACGAGGTTGTTGACAAGACTTGGTTTTTCGTGAGCTTTTGGATTGAGGACCTAAGTTGCTGGTGGTAGGCCACAGACTCCC